AAATAATTTGTTCTCTGTATTTCAACACCCTGTATCTCCGAAATAAGGCATTTCCGGACACAAGTTCGTATACTTCATTTCTTGAAATTGTCTCAGGAATACTTCATTTGAACGAACTAATGTTACTTCCTGTGTATTGAGAATACCTACCTTTAATTTAATATTAATATCTTAATGTTTCATACTTATCACTGGAGTTCAGCTCCACATACAATAGTGAATAATTATAGCTATAAGTTTATCCATATGTATATATTTTCTAATATTAAAATGTTGTTACATGCATTTTTTCCATTTAAATATACAGGGTGTTTGGTAGCTGGGTACAAACCTTGAAGGGGGTGATACACTAGCTCATGTAGAACATATTCATACAAACATTTTTATTTTCTAGCGCGTTTTTGATTTTTAAGGGAACTTTTGCGATTTTTAGTACAAATACCCAACATTTATCAATTAAATGCTAATAACTTCTAATCTTATCAGAAATGTCCGGTTTTGTTCATTTATTTCAGTAGTCTTATGTGTCCCCAATCGTACTAAAGTAGTCTGAAGCACCATTGTGTCCAAAAAAGTTATGTACAGAGCATTTAAACTTCACAAAAAAAGAAAGAAATTAAAAATTCTGACCTTTGATGCCAATTAAAAAAATAAATAAAATACATACAGGTGTTCAGACACTTTTGAAAACATGCGTAGTTGTTGCTCTTTCGTTTGAGGTATCATTCATCTAGCTAAATCCTGAACTTTTTAAATTAGGGTACCTGAACCAGTTAAAGGTCGTAAATATAGATTTTTTTGAAATTGAAGAAAAAAATGTTTTGTACTGTAAAAATTCATTGTTGGTGTTCAAAATGTCCTTCACCATTGCGTATACACTTTCTACAAGGATTTCGTACTTCAGTTGTGGTTACTTTCATTTGCATTTCCTTTTTCATAATTTCAAACGCTGCCTCTATTCGCTGAGGTAATTCTTCTCTCGTGGTGATTTCTGTTTTGTATAAGAGTTCTTTCACCCGACCCCACATGAAAAAAAATCCAACGGAGTCAGGTCGGGCGATCTGGCAGGCCAGGGGATGGGTCCGTCTCTCCCGATCCAGTTGCCAGGAAAACAGTGGTTCAGGTGTTCGCGGACGCTTACAGCCCAATGTGCTGGGCATCCATCTTGCTGAAATGTGATCGGCCTGTCCATGTCCAATATTGGCACTTCGGCATCATAGAGTAACATTGGCAAGTCGTTTATCATGAATTCGAGGTAATTTTGTTTATTCAAATTGTCAGGCGAAATGTGTGGGCCAACCAATGTGCGTCCGATGACCCCAGCCCACACATTTATTGGAAATTTTCTTTGGAAAGGAATTTGAAACAAAAATGCAATAAAATTAGTTGATTCAGGTAATTGAACACAAAATAATAATAAAAATCATTTATTTAGCTTGTTTGGCCAACCAAATCGACCCGGCGAGGGGTCCAAGATGATTACTCAACTCAAGTACCTAAAAATTGATAAACTCAGAAGCAACTTTATGACCCCAGCAATAACGAAAGAATGCATTCCAATTAATGACTAACTTCAGGTCAAATTCTTTGTTGCAAAAGGCCACCGCCACTGGTTGGGCTAAGTTTCTCATTATTCCATGTAAGTCTAAAAATAATATCACATATTGCTTCAGGATTTCTGTTTAAAGGTTTTCGAGCTAAAATTCATTCAAATTACTTTTGTTTTGAATCTTTCAAATATCTATATTTACAACCCTTAACTGGTTCAGGCACCCTAACTGAAAAAGTTTAGGACTTAGCTAGATAAATGATACCTCGAACGAAAGAGCAATAACTACGCATGTTTTCAAAAGTGTCTGAACACCTGTATGTATTTTATTTATTTTTTTAATTGACATCAAAGGTCAGATTTTTTATTTTCTTTCTTTTTTTGTAAAGTTTAAATGCTCTGTACATAACTTTTTTTGACACAATGGTGCTTCAAACTACTTTAATACGATTGGAGACACATAAGACTACTAAAATAAATGAAAAAAACTGGACATTTCTGTTAAGATTCGAAGTTATTAGCATTTAATTGACCAATTTTGGGTTTTTGTACTAAAAATCGTAAAAGTTCCCTTAAAAATCAAAAACGCGCTAGAAAATGAAAATGTTTGTATGAATATGTTCTACATGGACTAGTGTATCACCCCCTTTAAGGTTTGCACCCAGCTACCAAACACCCTGTATAACAGTTGGTCTGCTAGAAGTGTATCACTATAAATTGAAGTGGTTGTCTATACCCTATTTCCATTGTGCATCTACGGCTATGATTGATTTGACAGAAAAAGTAACCTCTAAAATCGTATCTGACGATCAGGCGCTACTAGGGAAATTGAAAAGACAAAGAGCAGAATATATGTCTTATTCTTTTATTCACTCAAACCATTGTATTATAGAAAATAGAAAAGGACAAAAGTTCAGCTGTATCCAAACTCTCATCTAACTAATACTAGGGTCCCTTGATGTAAACTGACGTATTTGTCATCTCTACAGGGTACGGACAGATCCTCGTCTCCTCTCACTCTAAAGTGTTTGTGTAACAGTTATATACTTCCATCTTTATTCATTTCTGGGGATAAACACTAGATTTTTGGCATTTGTTGTTTTTTAGGTTATATTGAGGTCACTGGCGTATCATACGTAATTTCCATATGGAATTCCTGATTCAACTATACCAAAATTTAGATGAACAATCCTCTAGTTATGAGGGCGCCGTACATTATGCTATTTCTCGGCAAGTTTGAGGCAATGGACTTTTCTCGCAATTTTTCTAAATTTATTGCGAGTCGCCGTACATTGAGATATTTCTGTCATATTTTCTTGTTCATATTCACTATTTCCAGGTTTTTTGAGCCTTCAATGTACTTTTTGAGGTTATTTGGTATTTCAGGCCACGTTATGGAGAAAATTAGTATTTTATCAAGATGCTACGATGAATATTACTAAAAATTTTACTAAATAACTTGCCTTGAAATCGCAGGAAAAATAGGACTGGTTCTATTACGAAACTAGCATGAAACTTGCCATGAAATATCATAGACGCATGCGCATTGTTCGATTCAAAATTGCATTGCATCGAACTTGCTGGTGAATATAGCATAATGTACGGCGCCCTTTAGAGTTTACTATATACTCCAGCATAATTTTTGATAGGTAGCTAAGGGAACATATGAATTTCACTGAAAGCTCAATATATTTCACCAAAAGAGACTATTCTTAGGCTGTATACAAGGGTTGATTGAATTGACTGAATGAATTCTGATTTCAAACTGAGCAGTAGTTTATCTATGAGCTGAATGAGCAGAGCCTTCTGATTGAGAAATGGTGAAAACCTCGATGTGAATATCTAAACTACTGTACTCATGTAATGAGTGCTAAATATATTTTCGGAAATACAACTCGAAGAATTTATGGAGTGACTAATATCAACTATGTATTAAACTTCGTCTAGGACGAAAAGTAGGCTGATAAAAAGTTCTTCGTAAAATGTGCAGGAAAATAAAGAATAGAATATACTTCACCCCCATGTTATACATATGATTCTTCCGTCTTTCTTAAATAAAAAGTCATTTTCAAATAATTTATTGATGAAACTAACAAACAAGTAGGTATACGCAGTATAACTTATAGGCACGTTATTTTCACTCTTGCATCCTACATATTTTCTATTTGTGATAAAGTCGTAATTATATAAACTAATGGATCCGTTATCTTGGATTTTTCAATTTTGACGGAACAATCATTATCTCTTAGCCCGAAAACCGCCAGATATCAATTACGAATAGAATCGGATCTTCATCACAAAACTTGTTCGCCACATGATCTTCCTCAACAATTAAATACCCTGTACATACCTATTATTAAAATTTCGAATGATTTTCTGTAGCGCCCATGGATGTGACGTGACAGCAATGTCAGGGATGCCAGTAGACAAAACTAAAGTCTCTAGGTCATTAAAAAAGAATGCAGCTATGATCTGTCCGTACCCTGTTAAGATGACTTTAATGTCAATTTCCATCAAGGGACCCTAACTAATACCATCCAGTGACTCTAGCTTAAATTAACCTTTCTCCTGGAAAGTATATTTTTTGGAAAATTACTCGAGTTTTGAGAGAAATATTGCGGATATTTCTCAAAGAGACTCCTTTTTTCAAACCAGAGCAATGACAGAAAAATGAGACAATGAGATGAAAAAAAAAAGTTCTTCTTGAGGACTGGACTCGGGTCCTAGGGCATGGCAGACGGACGCGTAGGTCACTAGTAATAAGTCAAACGCTGACAAGAGCGAATTGCAAACAGTGCAAACCATTTCGTCAGACAGTACAGATATTTAGCAGTCATTGGTTTGGTTTGTCTATGGTGCAAACTGTACCTCGCCTGCACCTCGCCAACAGCGGTAGCGAAAACGCTAGTAAACGTGGCGTGGGCGGCGCTTCATCTTCTCTCTCGCAGTATTTGATGCGTCCTGTTTCTATACGCTTGACGCTTCTCGTACAAGAAACGTCAAAACAGCAGTGTCAAGTTGAGTGTCAAGTTCTGTGGTGTCAAGTACTAAAATACAGTGTTGTTCTTGTCATCACTTTGTAATAGATCTATTACTGTTTCACGGTTATTGTTACGATAACACGATTGGTCATTAATCTTTTACTATTTGCTGTTAGCACCGAAATATGATGTTTCGTTACTGAAAAATCTATTTCTATGTTCAGCGGATAATTATGTTCTGTTCTATGGGGCTATGTTCTATATTTATGTCATAAGTTCTGCGTGACTTATGCCTCATTCAAAATCTATCATCTATCAAAACTGTCTAATTTGGGCGATGGTTTTTGACAAGAATGACATTTAGGATTTGAAATGTCAGATTTTTCGAGTCTATTACCTTTTGATACAAATCTGTTATCTTTTTCCAAGGAAATCTGTTACGAAAAAATCAGACCCAGGAACAACACTGTATAAATAATAATGATTAATGAAAAATGTAGTAAATGAAAATGAATATTGAATAGTAGTAGTGTTGTTTGACAAGCAAAATATAGAAAAATGGCAATTATTCAAGAAAGACATAATATAAGAATAAGAAATACGATTTCTGGTCAGTCCTACCACGATATTATTTTTTGTGAAACCCAGAAACTATATACAAGAAATAATCAAGAATTCAACCTGCTCCTAGAGCTGTGTTTTGGATGTTGTGGATTTTGAAGAGTTGCTGCTTGCTGTATTTTTTGAGAAAATCAAATCATGTGGAACTCCTCCAGTTCTGTAAGCCATCCCAAACCGTGCTGGGGTTTTCTGCCCTCTACATTCCAAAACCAACATAGAAATTTCTGCCTAGGCATTTCAGATTTTTCTACAGTACGAGAAAAATGTCTCAGAAATCAAAATTCTGATAAACATGATAAACAATTCCAATATCATCAGCCCACTGCTAGGGGGTTTTCTCCATATAAGTATAATTGTCATAGTGATGTTAATGTTGATGGGTCTTCAATTAATGTATCTGTCTTGAATACAGAATATTCATCAGAAAATTCTAGTCACAGAAACAGCCCTATCATGGATGTGATGGTTGATAAACATTGTAATATGGTTCACAGTCTAAATCCATATCCTGAAGATAGTAATAAATGGTCCAGCACTAGGTCCAGCATATGTGATATTGAGAAGTGTAGGAAGAGGAACAAAAAATGTCTGAAAAGAAAAGCCAAAAACAAACATTTGAAGCAAAGTATTCAAGATATACAAGAAATGATGGATATCACTAGTGACCCTGATGTGTCAATGAGCATTTTGAACAGTAACATTAGTTTGGACTCATCAGAGACCTTGAACCTAGCAGATTTTATTGTGAATGCCAGAATAAGTGTTGAGGAAGAATCACCTGTTTCAGAAACATGCAATCCAAAGGAACAGCTGCTGACCATTACTTCATATTCACCTCCAAAAATTACATATTTGAGGAGGGACCGGCAGTATTCAATTGCTGAATCTGAAGACAGCTTTATAGTGTTTGATGGTGGGAGTGATGAAGAATCAGAATTTGATTCCTCCTCACATTTCTCTGACAAGTCTAAATGTGATAGCACATCTGATCCGGAAGAATATTCATCTCTATTCACAATACCATCCAAGAAGGTATGAGAACATATTAATTATAAGAAATATTACTCCCTGTCTTAACTATGCTATTCACTGGTGAAACCAATGTGAATAGATAACTCTTAGTCCAATCAATGAATGGCCCAAATGTGGTTGTAGAGTTTGTAAGAATGGAGCTGAATGATTTCTTTAGAAACTTAGTCAGGGAGTTTAGAAAGTGAACATACTAAGAGTCCTGATGTCTAGGAGGGGAGCAGTAAGAAGGTTATGCTTTTGAGTATATTGCTTATATGTGGAAAAAGTTATGTTGTATAACAAAATGATGAAATGAGAGCTGATAACATTTTTCACAAGCCAGTTCACAACATTTTTTCCATTCACTTGTTTCTAATCTCTGAAGTGTTTTCTAGCTGCAGGCTCAGAAAAATGGAAATTTACAAATTAAATTGAATCATTCCTTCATATCATCTAAATGATTTGTTTCAAGGAATTGAATTGAATGATTTTTTTTCAAGTATATTATATATAAGGTTATCTCAGGTTATCTATCAAAGAGGCCCATGATAATAAAAAAATAGTTTTTATTGATAACCAAACTAAAGAGAAAAAACTTGAATAAAAAATAATGTTTGTTGATAAATACACCATGTAGAATATACTGAGGTGCAAATATTTCCTAGAGAAAGAGAAAGAGAGAGAGGTATAGGTCTAGGGATTTATTAACAAAAGAGTATTGTAGTAAAATGGCAATTATAAAAATTTTTTAATAAACAGGGTGTTCCATTTAGAAGAATTAAGTTGCTAGGACTTTTTGACAGAAACGGCAACGTCGCAATTTCGACAATATTTTAGATCCATAGAACAGGTGATGAAATGTAAGATGCGAAATATTCAGAAAAATCCTGCATTGCTTTCTCCATAAACATCTAACCGAGCATCTAACATACCATCAACCGCCAGTTACCCTGTACATAGTCCAATCATCAACACTTGCACTAAATCCATTGAACTTTTCATTCGCCATTTTGATTTCCGTCGTGGTGTGCCCACACTTTATTGGATTTAATCCTCGTCGCCACTGTAGTAACTTGGAAAACCAGGCGAAAAGAGATGCAAGCCTAGTGGAAATATACTTTTATTGAAATCGTTTTGGTGTCCTTTGATATGAAACATTACATTGCAAGAGCACAAACAAAACATTTAACATTTATGAAGGACCCTACTTGTCATGGTCATCATTAGGCATCACTGGCAAATCTACCATTCTTTGAATCGTCAGTGCTGCCAGTCGTATCTCCTAGGGAGGGGGTTATCCCGGTTATCATTGGCAGATGTCACAACAAAGTTAATGTAATTATTGGCATTGTTATCACTTATGAGACGAGAGGCAGCGTTTAGAAAATAATCATTGAATATATTGTTATAGGACGCTATACATAGTGGAGTATACTACGGCCTTGCCAAAAATGCTATCTCGGAAACTAAGCGAGATAGAGGTATAGTTACTTTGGAGAAAATGATCCCTATCGAATTTTGAGCAACTTTGGTTTTTGTGTGTGGTCTGTCTGTCTGTACTCTGTGTTAATCATAAATCGATATATCTCCGGAACCCTTTGACATATCGACTTGAAATTTTGCCATCTTATTGTACTCAAAACAATATTATGTAATTAAAATATGAGGGAAATCGGAATACTCTAAAGTGGTTTTTCCGGGTTTTTTCGATTTTTCACCGGAAGTTTCTTGTAACCACTCTACAAATCGCAAAAGTAGTCCGATCGATTTCATTTTTTGTGAAAAAAAAACTCTATCAGGGAGAGACGAAGCCTATTGAAATTGAGCAGGGTCGGGAAATTCCAAGTGGGTTTTTCAAGGAGATTTTCCGAAACACACGGTTCGCTTTAAAATGACATATCTCCTGAACCAATAGACTAAATCCAAATTTGAAAAATGCACCGTATGCCTCTTTGATGACGCAACAAATTATTATTTCACCATTCATTCGTGCATCCATCGGAAAATGGAAAAACAAATGAAAATCAAAACATCAAAATTTGAAATCCTTTCAATTCAGTATATATCGAAAACAAATGGAAAAATTGAAAATTATCAAGAGTGCAAAGTTATCCACTGGAAAATTTCCTACAAATTATTACCCATAATTTTTTCTGTAAACCCAATAGTACAGGAAATAAAGTGAAAATTATGAAAAAAAAAATGTGAACGACCCATAGGGTACCATGAAGATATATTGAAAAACAAAGATTATCGATAGATGAAGCTCATCGACTTCCACTGAACCATGAAATATTTTTTCCTTTTGTTGATTGGAAGATGGAACAAAAGTGTTGAAAATTGTATTCTCAAATAATTACAAATATCTCGAAAACAACTGAAAATATCTGAAAATGTTATGGAACCAAAATTACTCCTTTTGATGGAATCTACAAAAAATCCATATAACATTTTTCTCTGAATTCAATAGTTCGGGAGATACGATGAAAAAACTAAAAAAATTTCAAGTTCCTAGATAATCAATTGCCAATAGAAAACAAAACAAAAAACAAAAGGAAGTAAAAAAAGCACACTCGACTGTCTTTATGTTTTTCTCATAAACTACATACAGGGTGATTCACCATAAATGTCCCCCCCTCTAGCTCACTTATTTATGAACCGTTTCAAAAATTTGAAAGATAATCTGAAATGATTTTTCAGAAATTATTTTCCCGTTGCATCAGAAAATACAGGGTGCTCGGAACAAACGATCTACAGAGTACTAATTATTTTTTTGATATGGAACACCCTGTATTTTATTGTATTTTTAGATTCTTCCTGAAGAGCTGATTTCATCAATGTATCACACTTGGGGTTTAGCGGGAATGATTACAGAGATATGGGGTGTTTAAAATCGAGATTTTCCAACTTTAGGATTTTTTTGTGCCGAAACTATTCATTATTGGTCAAAACGGCTTCTATGTTCCCATCTCAACTTTTGATTTACTATCTAGTGAAATTTAATTGGAACATTCACAGGGTGGTTCAAGATTCAGAATTCTAGTCACCCTGTATCTGTTCCAATTATTAAATGTCAGTAGATAGTAAATCAAAACTTGAGATACGGACATGCAAACCGCGTGACCGATAATGAATAGTTTCGTCACAAAAAATCCTAAAGTTAAAAATCTCGATTTTGAACACCCTTTATCTCTGTAATCAGTCCCGCTAGACCTCAAGTGTGATACATTGATCGAATCAGCTCTTCAGGGAGAATCTGAAAATACAATGAAAAATAGGGTGTTTCATTTAAAAAAATCAAATAGTACCCTGTAGATCGTTTGTTCCGAGCACCCTGTATTTTCTGATCTAGCCGAAAAAAACTTTATCGAAAATCATTCAAGATGATATTTCAAATTTGAAAATCGGTTCAAAAATAACTGAGCTTGAGGGGGGGGACATTTATGGTGAATCACCCTGTACCTAGCTTACTCACCTGTCTTGATTTTTTCCCACAAACTACTTACTTAGCTCACTCGACTGTCTTGATTTTTCTCCACAAACTACGTACCTAGCTCACTGGACTGTCTTGATTTTCCACAAAGAAGAAATATGTTGGCATTGTTTTAACTTTCTTCTGGTTTTCTTTTTTTAGTCCTTATTGGCAGTCGAGTGGGCTAGGTACGTAGTTTGTGTGGAAAAACCAAAACAGTCGAGTGGGCTTAGTACGTAGTTTGTGGAAAAAATCTCCAGTTCTCTGAACTTTCATAGCGTCATATACACATCTTTGGTGCCCAATGATAGTTTCAATATAAAAATATGCTCATGATATGGTGCCATGGCCTCTACTTCCATCTTGCATGAGCAATGATAAAATATCATCTGCTTTTATAGCGTCGTATAAATTATCTGATCTCTATACTAATCTGATACCTTTCAAAAACTACGTACCTCACTTGTTTTTACTGTTACACTACTGAGATCAATTGAGTTAGAAGGAGTTGAGACGGATCTGAGTTGTCGTTTTTATCCGACAGGAAGGGCAAGGTAAGAAAAACATAACTCAACATAATTCAACCAAAATGTAAAATGGCTGAGGAAATTAATGAGGAGCATAGAAATATTATTGTAGTGGGTATAATAATAGTCAATATTTAATAAACGACAATACTCACTAATTTTATAGAAATATGGTTGTGATGACAGCAGTTCATGTTTCTGGTCAAGCAGTTCATCTCCAGAGTGTGATATAGAAGTTGGTGATTTTCTTGAACCATGGAATAAACTTGTCAGGATACAAAATTTTGTGGATGTTGGAGAAGACATTTTTGTTTGGATTGATCCACTGCAAGTTCATGTATTGGTTGTAATTGAATTCATACTTTTATGGAAACTTCTGTAATGGTATATTCATTTCAGATCAGTTGAACTAGAAAAATGTTTTATCAGAACACACATTTGGCCGGGAGAAAGTATGTGCAAGAAAGGCATTACTGATGGCGGTTTGGTATCTTGCCAATATAGAGACTTATCAACAATTGAGTGATCGTTTTGATGTGACAGAGAGTACAGCATGGAGGATTGTGAATAAAGTAATAAACCATCTGGTCACAAGAAATTCTCCTATTATAAAATGGCCAAACGAAGAAAAAGCTGCAGGAATTGATGAAGAATTTTCCAAATAGCAGGGAATCAGAGGTATTGTGGGAGCAATTGATGGAACCCAGATCCTCATTAATAGGAAGGAACTAAATCAGTATGCATATTGTAATAGAAAGGGCAAACATAGTGTGATAATGCAGGGAGTTGTAGATAAAAAAGATTTATTGACGTTTTTGTAGGCGAGCCTGGAAGTACCTTAATGCTTCTGATGGTACCTTGCAATTCAAAAACAGATTTTTATTAGGTGATTCTGCCTATCCAACAACACTACACTGGCTAGTCACCCCCTTCAAAGACAGTGGACTACTGACAAATACTCAACATCAAGAGTTGTTATTGAGAATGCATTTGGGTTTGTGAAAGCAAGGTTTCGCAACCGG